AGTCATAAAGGAAAGAGAGACATTTTGTAGCCAAGAAGTCAGAATTTTCATGGACTCTGTTGGCCTTCAGGACTACCTCCCAAGTGCACTATTAACCAGACTCCTAAACAGGCCAAAGTCTGCCCTCTAGAAGTCCAAGGCAGAGATTTTGTGGACTCCCTTCCTTACTTCACCAAGAACCAAAAACTCTTACCTCTTGGTGATCACTATACCCAAGATGGCCTCCCGCCATCACATCACCCACAAGTCTTTCTCCATTCCCAAATAACAGGTCCAGAGGTTACCTTCCCTAGTTTGCTGCCTCACCAGCTGTGTCAGGAAGTCATCTGCCTCACACTCCAGCAATCTCCTAGGCTCTTTCCTCTCTGCTGTGTTGTATTTTGAGCAGACATCTGGTAAGTTGAAACCCCCCATGAGAACAAGGGTGAGGATTGTGAGACTTCTCCCAGCCTCTTACTGAGTATTTCATCTGCCTCTATATCCTCATTGGGTGGTCTGTAGCAGACTCCCACCATGATACCTGCCTTGTTGGCCTTCCCCCTGATTCTTACCCACAGACACTCAATCCTATCCTTCCCATCATCAAGCTCTAGACAACCAAAACACCCCATAACATACAAGCCTACCCCACCGCCTCCCCTTCCTTGCCTGTCCTTTCTGAGGAGTTTATAGCCATTCATTGCAACATCCCAGTTATGTGACTCCTTGCACAATGTTCCTGTGATGGCGACTATGTCATACTTTTCCTGCTGTACAGAGACTTTCTGCTCCTCATGTTACCCATGCTGTGTGCATTGATGGAGATGCACTTCAGCTGCACTATTGATCCCAGCACCCTATTTGTGGGGGAGAAGCCTTAATTCCTACATGACTATTCTCAGATGCTTCCATGGTTTCTAACCCATTAATTACCCTGGCATCTTCATTGCTAAATGTATTTCCATCTCCTACTTCCCCTGAGATGGGAGACTAAGGACCTTGCTAACATCCTGTCCCTCAGACACTGGCATACTGCCCCTGGATTTATCTTTAGTGACCCTTGATTTATCCTTTTCCCCCTTCACAGCTAATTTAAAGCTCTTTCAATGAGCCCTGATAACTCCTGTACAAAGGTCTTTTTCCCACTTTGAGACAGTTTTACCCTGTCTGTTGACAGCAGACTTGCTGTTTTGTTCCCTTTAGCTGTATCCATATGTATAGCCTTTATCTATGTCCATATATATATTTCCATATACATATACATATTCAGCAATTGACTGGGCCCTAAGTCAAAATCAGATCTGATTTCAGCTGTTTCAAATTCCAAAAACCACTCTAAGTGGTGAATACATTCAGGCACCTTGCATCTTTGCTTTTGCTTTGTTTCTTTTAATTCTTTTGTTATGATACAGGCTTCTCTGAGGAACCTTGAATAAGCTGGGCGTACAAATTTACTGAATGTGAGATGCAAGGAGGCCAAAAGGGAATTCAGAAGTCTACAGGATTGCCCACCATGTGTTAAGCAACAATTGCTTTGGAGTACGTGGTCACATATTATTTGATGTGGTTACAGATAGGCAGTCCCTGCTGGCAGTGAGATGAGGGATGCATCCAGGCCTGGGTTGTCATCTGCTTGTTTCTCTTCTTGCCTGTCGTTAAATATATGGATTGTGAATGAGAATAGTTACAAGTCAAACTGTAGGAAAAGTTATATCTTGGGTCTCGTGGGCAACAGGAGATGGAAACTGGTTTAGGAGTATAGAGCAGTTGGTCTGGTAGGGTGTCTCATTACAAAAGGGTTAACAGTGCCGAAGAGTCACATGTACCCCACAAAGGGTAAGGATGCCATTCCCATCAAGAGGATCTCATCAGGTGAGACTGGTGCCAGAGGACTCCAGTACTCAGTGTCCCACTGACTGAGCTATTTCACACCAGGTTGCTTGGCTTCTCGTCCTGCCTGCCGCCCACTAGGATTATTTTGAACAAGATCAGAGTTGAATGCTGTCATGCTGAACTTAGAGAGTTGGGGGGGGGATGGGAGCAGAGAGGGAATGGGAATGTGGTGTGCAGATGTGTGAAGGTGAAAGTAAAGCTTATCAGCTACTGATTCCACAGGGTGGTGGGCTTTTCCTTCTTATTTTTTTTCCTGGTTCCACTGGTGAAGTCGTCAATTGAACAACCTCAGTTATCCAGCCATACAAGGTAAAAGTACAAGATCAGTACATTAGGGTGTGAATACTTTTAAATATTTAAAACTATAACAATTAAACATAGTCTTTACCCATTTGGCCAGCTGCTCTCTGGTGGGCTCCATTAAAAAACTCGAGACCCCAATGACACTTTCCTCTGTTGAATAGTATTTTTCTTTTGTTTCCAGTAAACCAGGTTTGAACTGACAATTTTCTGTCAAGTTCTGTGGCCAATTTAATATTTCATACAGACCTGCTTAAGTTATGCTGTTTTCAGGAATGTCTTGAGCCATCCTCCCTCTGCTAACTTGCTGTGCTGATCCAACTCCTGAGAAGGAGTTGACAGCCCATGGGGACAGAGGAGTGTTCTGCAATTCTGCGGAAAGGCGGGATAATACAAGCTCATAAGGGCAAAGACTGATGCATCTGAAGTTTGTGTTGCAGTTATCAGCCAAGTAACTTAAAAGAAAAAAAGAAAATACTCCAACAAAATCAGGGCATAGACTTGAATGCACAGCAACTGGTGACCTAAAATGGTAATCTGCACTAAATGGCCTCCTTTGGTAATGTCTGTGAATGTGGTTTTCAGCTCATTTTGGATAAAAACTTGTAGAAAAAGGCTCTTAGAAGTTAAAACTGTTACTCTTTTTTTGAAAAATTTTTCTTGATAATCTTATTAGATCAAGAGGAGTCTGCAAGAAGACAGCTGTTGTAGGACCCTGAGACCTAGGGGACAGCACACGTTGCTAGTGCTGTACCTGTTCTGCAGAGACTTTTCTACTCCCAGTATTGCTCACTTTACAAGTCAGAAATTATGCTAATGGTGTTGCAATCACATGGGCATGTGATTCCAGGTGCATATGTTGGGGTGCTGAAGTTCCCGAATAGCCCCCTTGTAATCCAGGAGGAAACAGTTAGGGACCTGCTGAGCCACTTGGATCCTCACAAGTCTATGGGACCAGATGGGATCCACCCAAGATGAGGGAGCTGGTGGAAGAGCTCGCCAAGCCGCTCTCCATCATCTACCAACAGTCCTGGCTCACTGGGGAGGTCCCAGATGACTGGAACTTGGCAAATGTCATGCCCATCCACAAAAAGGGTTGGAAGGAGGACCCGGGGAACTACAGGCCCATGAGCCTGACCTCAGTGCCTGGCAAGGTTACAGAGCAGATCATCCTAAGTGCAATCACACAGCACCTACAGGATGGACAAGGGATCAGACCCAACCAGCACGGGTTTAGGAAGGGCAGGTCCTGTCTGACCGACCTGATCTCCTTTTATGATCAGGTGACCTGCCTGGTGGATGAGGGGAAGGCTGTAGATGTAGTCTATGTGGACTTTAGCAAAGCCTTTGACACTGTCTCCCACAGCATACTCCTGAAAAAGCTGGCAGCCCATGGCTTGGACAGGGGCACTCTCTGCTGGGTTAGGAACTGGCTGGAGGGCCAGGCCCAGAGAGTGGTGGTGAATGGTGCTGCATCCAGTTGGGAGCCGGTCACTAGTGGTGCCCTCCAGGGATCAGTGTTGGGCCCAGTTCTGTTTAATATCTTTATTGATGATTTAGATGAGGGGATTGAGTCCACCATCAGCAAATTTGCAGATGACACTAAGCTGGGGAGGAGTGTCGATCAGCTGGAAGGCAGGAGGGCTCTGCAGAGGGACCTGGACAAGCTGGAAAGATGATCTGATTCCAAGGAGATGAGGTTCAACAAGGCCAAGTGCTGGATCCTCCACTTTGGCCACAACAACCCCCTGCAATGCTACGGGCTGGGCAGAGAGTGGCTGGAGAGCAACCAGGCAGAAAGGGACCGGGGAGTTCGGATTGACAGGAAGCTGAACAGGAGCCAGCAGTGTGCCCAGGTGGCCAACAAGGCCAATGGCATCCTGGCCTGTATCAGGAACAGTGTGGCCAACAGGACCTGGGAAGTGATTCTTCTCCTGTACTCAGTGCTGGTGAGGCCACACCTTGAGTGCTGTGTCCAGTTCTGGGCCCCTCGGTTCAGGAAGGATATTGAGGTGCTGGAGCAGGTTCAGAGAAGAGCAACGAGGCTGGTGAAGGGACTTGAGCGCAAGTCCTATGAGGAGAGGCTGAAGGAGCTGGGGTTGTTTAGCCTGGAGAAGAGAAGGCTCAGGGGAGACCTCATCACTGCCTACAACTATCTGAAAGGAGGTTGTAGCCAGGTAGGGGTCGGTCTCTTCTCCCAGGCAACTATCAGTGAGACAAGAGGGCATGGTCTTAAGCTGTGCCAGGGGAGGTTAGGGTAGATATTAGGAAAAAATTCTTTACAGTGAGGGTAATCAGGCATTGGAATGGGCTGCCCAGGGAAGTGGTGGATTCTCCATTCCTGAAGGTTTTTAAGATGAGACTGGATGTGGCACTTAGTGCCATGGTCTAGTAACCATGGCAGTAGTGGATCAAGGGTTGGACTTGATGATCTCAGAGGTCCCTTCCAACTCAGCTGATTCGATGATTCTATGATTATATTTTGTTGCTGTTGCATGCTTATGCCCCCAGCTTCAAACTGGAATCCAGCACTGCATTTTTACTTAATGTTTACTGGTGAACTTTAAAGAGCTTGGTCTCTCCTTGCCTGTACCTGTATTGTGTGTAAATTCATTAAATTGCTCTACATACAATTAAAACTGTCGAGATTGCATTTCTTTTTATTCAGTGTTAGTACAGATGTCTGAACTGAGTGCACTTTCAGAACTACCCCTTCAGAACTTCTTGTAGTCATGCGGAAGATAAGTAACGCTTTAGAGGGAAGAGGACCTCCAGCCAAAATAATTCTCAAATGATCTTAAAGCATAATTTATCTTCTTATTTTGCAGCTAGCTATGGACCAAATCCAATTTGCAAAGGTTGTTTATCTTGTTCAAAGGATAATGGGTGCATCAGGTGCCAACACAAGTTATTCTTCTTCCTACGAAGAGAAGGAATGAGACAATATGGTGAATGCTTGCATTCCTGCCCATCGGGGTACTATGGACTTCGAACGCCAGATATGAACAGATGTTCAAGTGAGTTATTTTTTTGAACCCTTACATTTGCTTTTGCAGGAAGGCCATAATTTATGCTCAGTTTTTAAGATGACATGTTGTGGAACAGAGTGATATTTTCACAGAGTTCTCAAGATCATCATAAGACTTCTTTGCTGAAGAATGTCCCAGCTCATTCCAAGATGCGTAACATTCTGCAGATTAAATAGTTGATGCATTGACCTTATTTTTATTGTTGTTGTTTTTTTATTGTCATTATTTTAGTTAGAAGAGAAATTTAGGAAAGAATGATGGTTTAAGCAGATATTCCTAGTTTTAAGAAATAAGGATTAAGAATGATTTTAACAGTGCCTCATGTAGGTACTAGTTATTGCATGCACTAATATATGGGTGGGCTTCTTGTCATACTTTTTGTTCCCGTACAAATTTCAGGTGACCAGACGCCTCACACCAGACATGCTTTAATATGTAAGTGTTGCTAATTTAATAAAACAGATGTACTATTAAAAACAAACAAACAACCTTTCACTTTTAGTGAAGCATTTTATTTGGAAATTTACAACCTGCTAATGTGCAACAAGATTCCCTCTTTGCATGTTTGTGCCTAGAAGCCCAACTGTTAAAATCAATGAGTGCTCTGGTATCTCAGATTATTTCACCTCTGTCTGGTAGTTGTGCTGATTCATATTGATTTTTCCATATGCTCATAAGTGGAACGTTGCCCATATGGATTATTAATCATTGCTGTTACCTCTAATTTGTATTTAGGGGGGGAATGTTTTTGTCATAGTCTAACCAGAATCGGGTCACCAAACCTAAGAACCTGAAGTGAGAAAGAGCTTTTCTGTTTCCTGGAATAATCAGGTGTTTGTTAAATGTGCAGCGCTCTCCCCCTCAGTGCTGTGCCATGTCACTGGGATGCACCGTGTCGTGAGAAGCATGTGCTGGCTTTCACATCACACATAGTCTTGAGACCCACGTGAGGTCACTCAGTGGCAGTCTGGGCTGGATGAGGAGCACTTATGACCATGCTTGGGTCTGACCCAACCCATCCCACCTCTTCCTCTGCATTCGCTGCGTGGGCTCCATGGATATAGTATTCTTCCCAACTGCTGTGTAATATTGCAGAGTGCTGCCTAATATGTACCAGGTGGTTAGGTTTTGATGAAAAAATTAAATGAGAGCAGTATATGGTTTATGCATCCATTCTGTAAAGTAATTTAGAACCTTGGCCTTAATTTTTGTAGCTCCTTTGTGAATTCAACAGCTTCTTTACTTGAAACCTCTCAAAACTGGGCTATGAAAACTTCCCCATGTAAAAATGGTTTGGAATATATTTATAGGTTTGGGAAATAGATTAATTTATCTATGTTAGCCTGTACTGTGTTTGTGAGATGGGAAAAGTAGTTTGTACTAGCAGTACTCTTTACTTTCTTAAAAAGGAAAAAAAAGAAAAGTTAATTGCAGAAGGTGGAGGATGAATTCAATATACCATTTTTTCGTTTGACCACTTACAGGAAGTGGTCTTTTTCTCTGAATTACAGGATTGATTTTGAAAAGCATAAACGTGAGTTGTGTCCAACTCACATTGGCATGTGTTGAGCGTTTGGTATTTGTCTCACCCTCATGCCTTTGACAGTCTCCTTCTGTGAGAATAATGATGCAGTTGCATTTACTGACCAGTCCTGATTCCCCTGTAATGATTTTTGTATTGCGTATTTTTATTTTAGCGTAACTGCCAACTGGCATATTTATAAATCACATACTAATTTTTTTCTTGGTTTGGTGATCCTGCATGGCACATAGGAAGTGTTGTGGACGTACAGACGTTTTGTGGATTGAAGTTGAGTTGAAATAAACGTCGTTAAAGATAGAATAGGTTTCTTCCTACTTGATGTTAGATACTCTTAGGTATGCTTGGTACAGGCTGCATTGCTCAGACAGTTCTATCTCAGCTAAAAATAATAAAAACTTCGGCTATGCTAAAATCCTTCTGGGAGTTATAGGGCTTGAATTACATTAGTTGAAATGATTTCTACCCTATTAATGTCTTTATAGGCACAAAAGCTGTTTTAACATTTTATTACTGGAACACTTGCCCGTTTTTTTTAGAGAAGCTGTAGAACATATTTTTATGGAAAATGTTGACATGATTTTAAAAGCCAAACATAGTTAGTGCCAAATGTAACACAATAAATACCACAGCCAAGTGCAGCAGGTCTAAAATTATGGAAATTTTGGATTTCAAGACAAATTTTCTTTTCTACATGTAAGAAATATGTGTGTCTTGAATTTGCTAAGTGGTTCTAGACTGTTTTTCTAGTAACAGTGAATCATGAAATTTGAGACTGCTTGTCTCTAGAAATCAATGTAGAGTCTCCTACTGGACATGATTTCCTTGAACACTGCAGTATGAGAATGCAGTGCTTTTGGACATGAGGTGGGAAAGTGTTCAGTTTCTGCTGTAGAGGAATGCCCAAGAGAAGAGCTTCAATTTGTTAATTTTCCAAGAAATTTTTAATAATTAATGACTTTGAACTAAACTGCTCAAGAGAGAATCTCATGAGAAAAAAATGAAACTGAATTAGAGTAAGATGAAATCTGTCACCTCAATGGTTGAACTGATTAATGGATCGAGCTTATCTTGAACCTTCCAGCATAGTCTGTAGTTACAGTAACCTTTATAATTTTAGGGGGAGGAACCACTCAGAGTATAGAAATTACAGCTCCCTTCAGCTTTGGTTGGCTACTTCATTTGCTTAGGTTCACCTTCTTTGTCCTAGGAGGGTCTGACATGGCTAAAATTATAATTTCCCCTTCCATTTGTCTTCATTAAAAACAAGAGAAAAAGCAGCTTTTACACAAATTGAGCATTTATTAAGCACATATAGTTAATTCAATGCATTAAGAAAGGTAATGAATTTTTTAACATTGTTACAAAATAGCAAGACATCATTAATATATCCTTGCTTGACTATACTTACATAGTATGGCAGAGCATATGACCTTTTGAAACTCTTATAGTCAGTGCAATTGTAGCAGTCAGGGAGTTCAACTACCACAAAATTCTGGAAGGGATTTGCAGAGAGGTGATGTAGCTGACAGATTGATGTGGAATGCCAATGGACATGTCAGGATAGCAGTTAGATCTGTAGCACCAGTGCCGTTGTAGCGAGCAGGTGAGGGATGGGAGCGGGAGTTGGAAGAGTGAGTGTCATGGTCATGGGAACAGACGAGGGATAGGTGAAGTTACAGAAGAGACAGAGAGATCTGAGGCAAAAACAGTAGGGTGCTGTGAGCCAGAGCTCAGGGTGAAAGACTAAAGTATTAGGTTCAGCAGTGTAGTGCATCGTCATCTACTACTTTGACTTCTTAAACACAAGGGAATGCCTCAAGCAAGGGCCCAATTCCAGTACAAAGATTGCCAAACTCCTCAATTTAGGAATGCCATGTTTCCTTCGTAGCTTTACTCTGCAGCTTCTCTATGCAAAATATGATCATTTTCTCTCAGTATTGCAGGCAGTGAGTACAGTTCAAGACAGCTCTCTTGTATGCTGGTGGTTGCTGGTTTCCGCTCCTGTTGGTTCCCTCAAGTGCCCTCACTTCGCTTTCCCAAATGTAACTGGTCTTCACTGGAGTCTGGATTTCATGCGGAGCAGAACTTACTGTGAATTATTGTTGTTATTAAGATTACTAGGAATTGACCATCTCTCTTTTCCACTATGCATACTACAAAATATCTTTGTTATGGAGTTATAAATGTAAAGTAAATCCCATTTACTTTGTTTAGAAAGGGACAAGGTGACAATGGAAATGCTACAGAATATGGATATTTCATAAATGCAAAATAAGACTCCTAAAATTTTCAAGATTATGTGTATCAGTAAAAATGCTTTACAAATGAGCAACTACTTTTTATATTTTAAATACATATATTTTGACCTTAAAATTCATCATATTGCACTTAGTATAAGAAACTAATCTACTAAAGTTCTTCTTAAGGTATGTTAAAATAAGAAGTACGTGCATCTCAATATGGAGCATTTTATTCTTTATTTTAAGTTTCAAAGGCATTATATTTCCCTACAATTCAGCTTATTCTGCATCACCTTATAAGGTGGTGATAAATTTAGAATGGAAGGATTGTTTTGATAATGTTGCACTCTCTGCAATGATAGCACAGAGAAGCTCTTTACAAGGAGCATATACTCTTTTTTTACAATAATAGGGACATGCACCTGAGTTTAAGTTTAATTCTATATCTAAATTTGTATTTTGAACTCCTGAGCTTTGATTCCTTCTCTGAAGTGTATGTCAATTCTCTAATGCTCATTTTAAAAGAAGAATGAGTAGGAGTGGCTTATCATGACCGTCAGAAGCCAAAGCAGGTCATGAAAATCTTTTAATATCACTGTGATTCATCTTCTTAAAATGTATCTCTAATTTGAGCATGATTTGTAGTCTGAGCTTTGTCCTTTCAGAGTTGTTTAATGTACTATTTATGTAGTTTTCTATAAATATTGTAAGTTTCATTCATGTCGATTTTTTTATGATATTCAAGTAAATGGCAGTATAAATGAGTTTTTAAAGTCTAAATAAAAATGTTTTATTGCTAGTCAGCAATGCACTTCTTCTATATCACATTGTTTGCCCTAACCTTGACTGAAACGTGGCTCATAGCTATTACTTTTTTTTTCAAAATCTGACATAGGTGCAGAAATGCTTCTGAAGAAAATTATTTCTGAAGTGCCATAAGGTGCTACAGCTCCCTGAAAGCTAAGGAGAAAGGAGCTTTGGCTCCTAAATCCTGTAGATAACTTATCTTTTGCCACTGTCTTTCAGAAAACAAACTCAAGATATTATAAATTTCTGCCTTTGGATTCTTTTATGGCAATGACCTTTTTTTCTTAAGGGAAATTTTATGATTGGGGTTTTTTCTCCTCTCTAGAACCAAAGAATATTGTCCTTCAGTTTAGTAGGTTTCCTGGACGTTTACTGAGGAGTGACACAATACTAGCTCC